TGTGGGCTGCTGGGATGCTTTATATGCCGGGTGTGCGATGCGAGTGTTCAGTTGCAGACTCCTAGCCGAGGGCCATCCACTTATTTACCCCGAAAAAGTTCTCGCATTACCCGGCAAACAATTGGCTGTTGTTGTTGTTGTTGTTGTTGTTCTGGGGGTCCATTTCAGCTGGCGGACACGCATACGGACAGAATAGGAGCCCTTCCGCCCACTGGGATTTTCCCGCAGTGTACGAGTAGATTGCCGCACTCCATCAGTATCATCATCATTGCGATCCTCCGCCGAGAATCATCATCATCAGAGTCGCATCAAGTGCCTGGTTGGGTTCTTTTTTTTTTGTTCTACCTGTTGTAATTGCATAACTGTCGAGTGTGTGTGTGTGTTGGTATCATTGCTGTGTGTTGGTATCATTTGTATCCGTGTCCGTCGGTTTGGCCCGTGTGCGTATCTGTATCTGTGTCACAGGCAATTCTCAGAAGCATAAAAGTCAAATTTGTCGCATGGCCCACGGAGACTGTGCCCCAGCGTCAGTTTTGTATTTCCCCGAGCAGCCGCAGGCCCAGACAAACCTTTCCCCCCTTTCCCCCTTCCCTTCTCTACTCCCTTTTCCCCTTTCTCCGTCCCTTTCCATTTGGTGGGGAACAGACGCACAGGTAATTGGCTTTGGTATCCCGTTTCCCAGGCATATGGATACATTTAGATACGCACACAAGGGTCACGCCAACTCAAGGCAATATGAATCGGTGAGGGGAAGGGAATTTTAGATACTCTACCCACAAATTGGGGGAAAAAGAATTAAGATGCAGTAATAATTAATTATGAAATATATAATATAATAAAACCAACTACGGATATAGGTATAAATAAACTATAATAAGTTAGTAAATAAGTATTTCACTTATAAGTAGTACATTTTATATTTGATAGCTGATGCTGATATAGTTAAGCTTTTATCTATTACTTGGTTACCGTCAGTAAAAGTTAAACAACGCAGTTTATTATGTTGTGGTATTTAACCAACACCTCATTTTAATAATAAGCCCTTTCGATGTCACTTAAATAATTCCCTGGGTTAACCCCCTACCATTGAGTAAGGTCTCCACCGCAATATATCTCTATATCTGAGGCGAATCAGGTTGAAGGGTAAACGTAAGCCCCTTTGGGTTCGGGCTACAAAAAACGGGGGTCTCCAAAGGAGCGATGCAGGGCATCCGAGGGATGCGTATCTGCAGGTGGAACCCAAAACGGGGGACCGTGTGAGATGGCCGTGGGCACAATGGACACCCAGGACACCGAGGACATCCAGGACATTCAGGACAACCAGGACAGCAAGAGCAAGAGAAATCAGGAGCGGGTAAACCCGGCAGCAGCTCGCAAATGAACTCCGGCGTTGACACACCATCCCAAGTGCGATGACATGGAGGCCAGAGGATGAAGCCACACAAACAGCCGAGTTATGCAGCAATTAGTGCAGCAGATTCTTTTGTCAAGGGCCGAGAAGAATTCTCGAAGTATTAGCCAGGTTTCGAAGGCTTCCCTTTCGACGTGAGTGGCATTCGAGAAGGACTCCCTTGGGCTACTCAAATCCGGCTAAAGGTGCTCCGAACAATGTCTGTATCGTGTGCTACTGATTTCTGAAATGAATCGAATACCTGCGAGAATTTTTATGATCACAAGCCACCAAGATTTAATAAGCAAGTTGATTTACAATTTGTACACCCACAAATCCATTTACACAAATATGTTGCAATTAAATATGCAAGTTTAAATATAACTATTTCCAGAAATCTTTAAAGCGAACTGAAACCACCAATGTTTAATTTCACATAAACTCACCAAACTAATTCACAAATATTATTATTTATGAGCTTATTCAGAAAATTGCTTCTTTAATGATTGCAACCTTCAATAAGTTGGCCATCTACTCATAATATTTTTTATTTGTACTTGTAACTTGCACTTAGGAACTATTTCAACAAGAGTCTGGAAATAAAAGCTTTTAGAACTTAAAAACATATTTGTTTTTTTAATTTCAAAGAGACGCAACTATTTGCACAGATACCTTCAACTAAAAGCCTTTGGGAAGCGTGCAATTTTAATGATCGCCAACTGCAGAAAGGTGGCCCCAGTTGGAGCTCCCTTTCAGGGTTTCAGGGGATCCCCACGTTGCCCACTGAGTGCCGCACTGCTGAATCGAGTTGCTAATGAGCTGCGATGTCCTGCCGCCCACACTCGCCCCAAAGTATTTATGGTTCGGCTTTTTTACAACACTCCAAAGGGGCGGGGGGCAAATGAAAAGGAAAGGGAAGGGGAAAAAGGGGGGGGTTGGGGAAGTGCGGGTGCTAATAGGATTTCCCTCTGTTTATGTAGATGCTAATTAGAGGGCGAAAACACATTTTTGCTGCCTTTTGGTTAATTGATGAAATGAAAACGAAGCGAGTGCCGGACACAAACAACTTGGCCCAGAGCGTGCAAGCCATAAAAACAGGGCAAACTTATCGGACTGGCGACACTCCTGCGACTGGGTCGAAACCCCCTCCCCTCAAACCCCCCAAACCCCCCTTCCCCCAAAAAACCCCCCGGCAAAACCCCCACTCGAACTCCCCCTTCGGTTGTGGGAAATGCAAATGAGCCTAAGAGTAGACAAGAATGATAAATATCGCTTTAAATGACAAAGAGGCCAGCCAAAAAGGCGACGAGAGGTGCGGGATAATAAACCACAAAATTAATTGCAGTGCATAAAAAACTCTGCTCAATGGAAGAGAAATGAACCAGCTTCGAATTGGGGCAATTTTTTTCGAAAACGAAGGCGAAATGAATTTCTGGCAGAAAGTATTTTTTGGTTTAGCTTGCGTATTTCAAAGTGAAACATTTCAATAAAATTGTATTGTATTTTATATGGGAAAAGATTATTCAAGAATTATATCCCATAAAAAACACAATATGTATATAAGTTTTCTGTGCATTTTAATTCAAAAAGTCCACCAAAAAGTAAGAAATGTACTGTTAAAAACCATTATTAATTTTATAATTAAAATACAAGCACGCAATATTAATTTGCCTCCTGTTTCTGCAGCAGTTGCTCACAATTATTTTTGAAATACCCTAGTTAAGTTAATAATAGCTTAAAAGCAGCCCACCTCATCGACTTACACGCTCCTCATTAGCGGCAATGGAGAAGGAGGTTCTGGCCAAGTCAGTCGCCTTGTTGGCCACCTGACTCTCGCTCTTGGCCATTGAGTGACTTGCAGCTCCTTTGGGCCATTGGTCCTTGGTAATTGCCCGCCTAATTGGATGCATCAACATCGGTGTTGTCATCTTGGCCAGCTTCCTCTCTCGTTTCGGTCCGAATGCGAAAAATGTCCACAAGAATTATCGGCCACGCTGCAATTGCCAGTTGAAACAGAATGATAGTTTGCTCTTTTCATTTCTGTGGTCAAACATACAGGGGAAAAATCCCCAACGCGACTTATAAAATATATATAAAATTAATCTCATGGAATAATGATAGATAAATTCAATATAAACATATATTAATTTTGCTTATGACTAGTTTACGAATTATATTCGAAGGAATTTGAATAAATTTGTGTACTCAATTTGAATAGATATGTATAAGTTGTTGAACTTATTGTTTAAGCCTGAATTTTTTAAATATATAATTTAACAAATATTAAAAAAGTAAAATATGCAATAGGAAAGCACTCTTTTTTTGTCAGTGCAACTGGGCATCTGTGCGGCTTCCCCACAGCCTCCGATGTCCTTTTTGGTCAATTATGAAAGCCAATTAACGCGACAGGCCCACGATTTGCCTGAACAGGTGAACAGGTGAGCATTTGAAGGGGAAAGGTGGTAAGGAGGTGGCTAGAGGGGGAGGAATTCGAGGCATGCGGCTAATTGGAGGACTTGTTGCTACCGCAATTTTCCATTTCTCACCGGCGCCGAAGTGCGAGGAAACCTTCGGCCGATGTCTGGAATTTGATTTGCTCGCAGGTGAGAGGGCCGCAAAATGTTTGCCAAGCTGGAGCAAATGAGCTGCAGCAGTTGGAATTCTGGCCTTCCAAAACGCGTTTCCAAGGGCTCTCCAAGCCACTTCTTAAAGGATGCCAAAGTCGCCTAAAGCCCAACAAAACCCACATTTGAACGATGTGCAAAATACTTGAGGCCACCGCGATTGCTTTAAGTATTCTTAATTATCAAAACATTTGGGGTACAACTTACTTAACGAACTGTAAAATGAGATGTCGGAATATTGAATTTATTAAAGTATTTTGTGGGATTTTAATTATACTACATTTAGTATTCATTAAAATAAATTTGATTTCACTGCGAGTTTAAAGTGATTTTAAGATTTAACTGCACCATGATTTAAACATTTGAAAACAATAATTTCTGCTTATATTTGTTATTTTGTTGGTTAATATACGTATAAATAGTACAAAGGATTAGTTGCTTCCCTGCGACATCTGGAATTGTAGATGACTGCGATGGCTAAAATCCATGAATTAAAGTTCGAATTGTTGGAGCATCCACCCTATTCACCAGATTTTGGCCGCAGCAACTTCCTTTTGCTTCCAGAACTCAAAAAATGTATGCGTGGCAAGCATTGTTCATCAAATAAAGAGGTCATAACGGAGGTTGAAGCGTATGTTGAAGATCTTCCGGATTCTCACTTCAGGATGGGATCCACAGATTGGAAGATCGTTGGCCCAAGTGTAATAATGTTTAGGGAGGATATACTGATTAATAAAGTGTTTCTTAAACAACGAAATTGTGTTTCTGTTATCGAACGACAAAACGTATTTGAACAACCTAGCCTTAAGTATCATTAAGTATCAACTTTCTCGCAAGTGCTCACTTCCTATGTTCTCCTTGTGTTGGTTTATATTCTACAGTGTTCTTTTTTTGTGTGAGTGTTTTATATCAAATTAAATCGCACTTTACTATTCATATAAAAGGAGCCGCCTTAGTCAGTCCGATCAGTTTGATTGTGCACCACGATGCGAGTGGTTCCAGTTTCTTCAGCGCTTCTCGCGATCCTCTTTTTGGCCCACTTCGGTGGCTCAAATGCAGAGTGTTGCACCACGATGGCCAAGTTGGAGTTCATTATAAACGACGGGTCCTGCGGACAGGTGAATGCAGAGAGAACCGCCCACGGATGCACCATCACCGTTTGCGGCAATGGAGAAGCTCTCGTGGGCAGCTTTTGCGGCCGCGGTCCGTGCAACATTTTCGGGTGCGACTGCGAGGGAGGTTGCCTCCATGGACGCTACGGGGAGAGCTTCCTGCAAAGGAACAGGCGGCACAACATCCAGCTGATGCGCACCCAAATGATATCCTCCAGCTCCGTGAATGCCGTTACTGGTATCTTTTCAAAGTTTTTCAAGTGAAGTTTATCATGAAATGTTTTTAAAATAAATTTTTTGCAAATCTGTTACTACAAATCTGTTTTTTTCAAATCGGCCGACTATATCGGATAGCTCCCATACGAGAGAATAAAAAAAATTCTCACGCCGTTGTTTTTGCTCCGATCGACTTTCATTTCATTTAGATGGCGTTTGACTATTATTGAGTTTCGAATTAAATTTTATCTAAATCGGATAACTATATCATATAGCTGCCATTAAAAAGAAAATTTCATACAAATCGAGCAACTGTATCATATTATATATGTATGTATGTACGTGCCATAGTAAAGATTGTAAAATGTATATAAAATCATTTTTTTTGTACATATATGTATGCTGACATATGAACAATTGGTGAAAATATGGAAAAATAAATAGACAAATCGTTATTATTTGGAAATTTCGACATTTGTGATGACTGCAAGCCTGCCGAAGCTAGCTTTCTTTCTGGATTTTCTTTTTTTTTAAGCATTTCAATTGCTTTTTGTCTCCTGGCGGCCATCCAATTATCGAAACCAGTGCGCCTATAAATCTGCAGTTTAAAAGTAGAGTGCTCGGCCTAGAAATTTATGATAATTGTGAAATATGTGGCCAAAACACTCGACTGTAAGACCAATGGCAACTTCCTTTTTTGGGCCCTGCAGGTGGGAAAAGTCTTTGGCATCTGGTTAAATGGCCAAAAGGGGATGGAGTCTGGTTGATGGGGGAAGGGGAGGTGACTGGTGGGTGGCTTGGTTGGTGGTTACTAAAAGTCATCGGTGTCGTTGCTGCTGCATTGATTTTTCGCTGCCTTTGCTGCTGCTGCTGATGATTTTGCTGCTGCTACTGCTACTGCTCCCGAGCAAATGTCATTGACCACAAGGCGAACAACAAAGGGGCGTTGCAGGGGGGCGGCAAGTGGGGGGTAGCAGAAGGGGGGCGGAGCGGTTGAGGGCGGGGCGGTGCGGCTACTCGCCACAGTCAACAACCACCAAAAGTAATCATCGCAAACGTTGCTTTGGGGCGGGAAATGGAAATGGCGACGGGAGTGTGGGCTGAGGTGGGTGGAAAGAAGGGGAAAGGAGGGTGAAGAGCAGGGAAGAGGGTGGTGGTGAAGGAGAAGGGGGAGCTGCCTGCAAGGACATCCAGCTGTGTGAGCAGCGAGCGTCAAGGAAAACTAAATATGACGGCCTTTGCTCCAACTCCAACTACACAACTGAAACTCCAGCTGCAAATACAACTAAAGCTACAGCTACAGCTACAACAACAACAACAAATACATATAGTAGCTGAAGCTATAGCTATAGCCAACCCCCTGCCATTATCCCCGCACACGATGACCAGAAGTCCTGGCCGGAGTTGTTTCCCTGCCGGGAAAACTGCAAGGAGCAATGCGATTAACGTTTCAATATGCGACAGTTGCAGCGCGACATTCGAGCGGATACACTGGCAGAAAATAGTTCTTAGAAGTTTATTTACAAAAGAAAAGTCTAACAAAAAATGCACTTCGTTTTTAGGAAATTAATTTTATAATTAGATATAATTAGACATTGTTATATTTATTATATATAAAGAATTTCAGAATTTTGTATCTAGAAAAGAAAATTGCTTGTTTATTTAAAAATACATATAGAGAATATTTTAAACTTTTTAAAATTGACAATAAAAAATCAATTAATAAGTTGATGTTCATAATTTTTTTTAAATTTATAGAAAGCTACATTATTATTATATTCTTTCAAATAGGCAATACATATACTAAAAAGATAGTGTTTTTGCTCACCTTTTTCTTCACTGCACCAAGAGGCGTGGGCAGTTTAAGGGGGAGGGTGTTAATTTACCATACATGTGGCACTTCCTCCGCCTCCTTGGCCTCCATTCCGACCAGCACCGTTCGGTTACGTCCCGTTCCTTGCTGCTCCGTTCTGCTCTGTTCCGTTGCGATCCGTTTGGCGCGTCTCCTGTCGCTTTTGCAGACCTCCTGCGGTCCAAAGCCATCGCTGCATTCATAGAAAATTACGCGCTAAGCTGCAGTCGCAGTCGGATTCTGATTCTGATTCTGATTCGGATTGGGATTCGGATTGGGATTGGGATTGGGATTGGGTCTGGACTTCTGGACTTGCAACTCCGAACGGACTTGGGTTCGCTGAACGGGATTGAACGGACTCTCAGATTGGTTTGGCAATGGAATTGGTCTGGGGACTGCGATTTCGGTTGGACTTGAACTGAACCGCACCGAAAAAGGTCATTATAACTTTGGCGCAGAAGTTTTCATTTATTTCCGCCGGATTGGCGTTACAAAGTGGAGAGGGAAGAGTAATGGAGTGGAGTGGCGTGGAGTGGCGTGGAGTGGAGTGGAGTGGAATTTACAGAGGTATTCGCGAAACAAAAGAGCTCGCTTTGGCAAATAGTTTACCGCAAAACGGCTTTACGTAAGCTAAGCAGCTGGAAGTGGGATAACCGAGATGGACTTAGCTTGTTGCACAACCTGCTGATGACTCACGGCTTCAAGGGGACGGAAGACAACACTCCACCCGCTTACGTTGCCGATTAAGGTCACCTCCACCGCAATCGCTCAGCTGATTACGCAGTTACGTAGTCGAGGGCTTACTTTCTCCTCGGCGAGCAGCTGCTTTCGATGTCCGCTGTCCCTTCGTCACTTAACTTGTAACCACATTTATGTTGTCTAATTAGCCAGCTGTTGTTACAGTTCCCCTAATGATTTATAAAACATCTTCTATTCGGGTTATATGAATGTTATATGAAATGGTTCTTTATTAGGCATGAGTTTAGTTACAACCTAAACGTTTTCCACAAAATCTCTAAGAAAAACGGTTAGAAATCGATATTCAAATTTTTAACGAATCTTTTGCTATGTCCATTGTTCTATTTCTGCGGGTGTCACTACGTCTCAAATAATTAGTCATCATCGATGACGTAAGCTGGTTGTGAAAGCCTCTGCATTCGGGAGTCACAATTCAGAGCTCTTCACTCCGCTTCCACTTTGCACATGGCCAAAAACGATCCCTTCCTGCCTCGAGCTGCGTAATTAGCCCTCCGAATCCTTTTGTCCAAGGATTTTGGAATTCGGGTGCCTTTCCGTTCTCTAGATTTCCGCATCTGGCGGCGCTGAGCTTGTTAGCTGTCAATTTACATCTCACGTTACGTGATGAATTACGCCATTACGTGGCATGGAAGTGTGTGTATGAGTGTGCGGGCGTTTGAGTGTGTGTTTGCGGGTGCGGAGCGCACTGAGTTTTTCAATTAGCTCATTTCTAATAATTCAGGATGTTGAGGCAGCAGCCAAAAAGCACCGCCGGCCATTGTAGTCGCACACGTAGCTCCATAGAACTATAGAGCTATAGAGTCGCAGAGCTATAGTTCAATGCGGTTGGGAGATTACAACAAAAGCCCTCAACTACACACACGCACCTACACACATCGACACCCCTTTTGGGTGAGTGAGTGTGTGTGTGTGTGTGTGAGTGCCTGGGCCTCGTGGGCAATTCACCTGACTAATTAATAACTAATAATGTGCAGTGCGCTTATTAGAGAAGCTTGCATACATTAGTCAGGGACTAATATCATTATACGCTGGCTGACGCCGCTCTGGCTCTAAAGGCCCCCACCCCCTCTCTCTTCTCTTTTCTCTCCCTCTCCACTGACCGCCCTCCTCTCTTCTGGCACTCCCCTACATGCCGTTATCCCGCTCCCGCTGGATTCTCCACCAACTGTGCTGACGGCTCTGACAGCAAAGCCTTTCGTCTGGCTCCTACTCATGCACTTAGGAAAATGGGGAAGGTATATTGAAAAATAATAACAACAGAAAATATATGTTTATTTTGCATAAAGATTAGCTCTACTTTCAACAAATACAACTAATAAATAGTAGAAAAACACTAAACAACTTAGGTGACCAGTAATAATTTCATACTTTTGGTAATGGCTGCACAAATTCATTTAAGCTGATGATTTTGTACTCATTTGATTTTACATACTCGAAAACTATTGAAATTAAAATTAGGAAATTTCATATTTATTTAATCTTTCAAAATAAAATGATTGTTATGACTTTAGAAGGCAGGATTTTCTTCGAGTGCTTGGGTATCTCCTGTCTGACTTCCTGCTATTGTCACGTACAAAGTGCAGGCTGGACACCAACACACACAGGCAGAGCCACACCTACACACTCACACACACACACACACGCACAGGGACGGGGACACGCATACAAAGAAATGCAATTATGACAATCAAAGTGGACAAATGCAGTTTGCTGCCGAATGCCGAACGCATCCGTGTCCCAATCGCAGTCCCATCAAAGGTGCGACTCCAGCTGACAAATGACAGGTGCACGGCCACTCAAAGTCACCTGTTCGCCAACCACCCAACCACCCAACCACCCAACCACCCAAGCACCCAACCATCCATTTCGCTCCATAAATTTCAAATTCTACAGGGAATTCCTTTTGTTTAAGTGAAACTCCCTGAAGAACCCAAAAAACGTTTAGTTCAACTCGTACATATTCATATTCACCAGCCATTGAAAAATGTATAAACAAATTTAATATCTGTAGGGGAAGGTGGGGAATCGTGGGCCACGTTTATATTTTGTTAAATATCTTAACAAATAAATTTTTTTTTCCAAAATTGTAATATGGTATGTTATTCTACATTAAATTAGGTAACTTTTGACTATTACACTTCCTTACAATTCTTTTGTTTTTTCCGACTTTTCGTGGTTTTTAAAAAAATGGTGTTTTGGCGATTTTCAAAAACGGTGGGGAATCGTGGGCCACCCCCGTATTTTAATGAAAATCAAACAATTATGATGCAAAACTTTATTCAATTAGTAGAAATGACAAGTACAGTTATTTTAATCGAGAAAATGGAGAAGGATTATGCACAATCAATCTGATACGCAATTATCATATTTTCCATAATATCGTGGCATTATTGCTGAAAACTAACAAAGAAATAGGAAAATTTAATACATAATATTT